TCTGTTAATTGGTCTATAGGCAACAAAGCAGAAGATATTATTTCAGGCCTATGTATACAGTATTTGTGCAATGTCGGAGGCATATTGACCGTGGGTACTTTTCAAAAAAGTATCTAGCGGTGTTGTGAGCAAATTCTATTAATTTCATTATTTCCAGAACTTCTCATGATATTAAGAAGTTTCATTCTCGATAAAAACATAGTGTTCAACCTCGTTCCTGAAATAAAATAAAAAATAAATTAAATTGTTATGTGCGAAACACTGTTATGTTTCATTTTTACCGGGTGGGCTATAGAAAACTGTATTTTCTTTTTATTTTCATTTTTTTAAATAATAAACCGATTTTACTGTTCTTAGGCTCCTTGTTATAGATAACTAACTATGCTCCCAGATCCACCAAAAATAAACTAGCTCTAAATCGACTCATATTTCAATTAGGTTCGCCATCCTGGAATTTAAAATTTCCGTCATTTTAATTTAATGGTCGGAAAGTATATTTACGTACCTAGAAAATCAGACTCATTGAGTCCAAATCGGTCAAAAACTAAAATAGCAGCTTTGCAAAGCATAATGATGTGTTATTATAAGCTTCTATGAAAACATAAAAACCAGACAACTTTGATTGTCTATATCTTATGACTGAATAGACCAATCGTGCTCTGAGAGGCCTTAAAATAAAGAAAATAGGTTAAATATTGAACTTTTGTTATTATATTTTATATTTAATTTATAATTATTACACAAAACGAGCTTAAAATGGGTTACTTTTAGGCTCGTTTTTTTTTTCTTTAATTAGGTCGGCCATCTTAAATTTTACATTTCTGGAATTTTGTTATGTCTGTCTGGAAGCATATTTAGTTGCCTATAAAATGAGCCTAAGGACAATAAAATTGATTTATTAATAAACGAAATATATTAAAAAAGACTTCGTTTTTGACGATCGTCCCGCCATATATTTATATACTTTAAAAAAACCCAAATAGTGAAGAAAAGTGCAAATAAGTGCACAGAAACTAAACGATTTCGAAAAGTACAAACAATATTTATTATGAAAAGTTGAAATTTAAAGCTTGGACTGCTTTGGAACATAACAAATAGCCTTCATGTATTTAAGAATATTTTAAAATTTTAACGTTTAACCTTCATTTTACTTAACCCCAATATTATAGGATTACGTTTATTTTTCTACAACTTTTTACTTATTAAAATAATAATACATAGCTAAACTTAAAGGCTCGATGGCGGAAATTTGAAAATAAAAAATCAAAATACAGCCTAAACACAGCACAAAAACAGGTTAAAAACTACAAAATAACAATGAACATATACTCGCCTCAGATAAGTAACTTCGACTAAGGGTGGTGATGAAACGCGTGAGACAGAAGATCGCACTTGTTCGTTTTATTATGTAGTGGACAGTAATATATCAGAAAAAAATATGAGGTAGAGTGTATATCGTCGTTGTCGCGGTGAAACCTCCTATGTACATTTCATCAAAATTTTCAGTAGATATAGAAACGTAACAATTTTGTTTTGATGCCTTATAAGTATTACCCCCAAGAGAGGTCTAAAATCATAATATTTTAAAAGAAAATTACATGAGAGGTTTCGCTAAACTGTACAGAATGTTAGTTTCTATGAACTGGTACAAAAATCTAAAAATGTGATAAAATATCACATAGGAGGTTTCACCGCGGCAACGACGATATGTTATTTAATTTTTTTATTTATTGCCAGATTTGAGGGCTTCTTGCCCCAGTGTGCGTCGGCCTGACGCACCATTTTTCCACCTACATCGTAAGAACACGCTACGCTCCTCCCACCCACCTCTTAACTACTACAAAGGAAAGCAAGCAAAGCTAGCGCACCCGGCCAACGTTTTGAAATTCGCGCGCGCGAATTTCGAAACGTCGGCAGGGCGTGCTCTTTTTCCACCTACATCATAAGATCACGCTACGCTCGTTCCACCCACCTACTAACCACTACTTGGCAACTAAGCATTTCCTTACCACGAGATTTGGGTTTTTGTTTAGTCGTTAGCATAATAAGCGTTTCCATGGCAACAGTTTCTTCATAATTGATTTCGGCTAAACTAAAGTGAACATTTAATAATCTCTAACTTGGGAACTACGCATTTCCTTACTGCCGGATTTGGATTTTTGTTTATTCCTTAGTATGACAAGCGCTTCCATGAAAACAATTTTTCCGTAACTGATTTCTGCAAACTTAAATGAACATTAAATGATTTATAACTTGGAAACGCATTTCCGCACCACAAGATTTGGGTTTTTGTTTAGTCGGTAACATGACAAGCGTACCCATGGCAACATTTTTTACATAACTGATTTCAGTTAAATGAAATTAAACAAAAACCGTAAACATCTACAACTTGGTAACTACGTATTTCCTTACCATGAGATTAGGGTTTTTGTTTATTCATAGCCATCACAATTGTTATTATGACAACAGTTTTTGCATAAAACAGATTTCGGCTAAACGAAAGTTGAGCCGAATACTACACTTACAGTCTATTATCGATTAATTATTGTAAATCTATTCATCACAAATATTTTTTAATTTTTAATCTTTATTTGTAACATTAACATTTTTGTTCTTATTTTTCAAGCTAATAGCTAATGGTGTCTTATTTTAAAATGTTAAGTGCAAACTCAATAATGGGAATTCAGACATTTTTCTTTCTATATCAAATCTTCTTTCTAACGTTTTAAAGCCATTTTCTTGTTCTAAAACAATAAATAATAAACACCTACTTTGTGAAATTTGGCTACTATTTGTGTTACTTACATGACTAGATCTTACTTTGGTTAATTAAAGAATGCCACATTGGGGTTGTTACATTTATTTATGTAGCATGTGTTACTATTGCAATACGTTCTCCGACTTATTGTAATATTACAAAATATATTTATTGTACTCAAATTTTACACAAAAATAGCCACAGCCTTTTTGATTAGTTCATCTAGAGGATAACACAATCGTGAACTCAAAATTTAAAATTCAAATTCAGGATTCTTTGATATACATACAACTAAATGATTTTTATATTTACAAACTGTCCACTGCTGTCCACGTCTACTGTCTTTAACATCTGAGATGCATAGATGATGCCCTAGTTACTGCGGTCGTTGAGTTTCCTATCTTTATGTCCCTAATATCTGTTTCGCGAGTGATATCGGTAAACCAAATATTAGTGGTGTGCCCGTTACATAGTGCAGAAAGATTGAATAACAGAATTTCCGGAAATATTAAAGACATTTTCCAAAAGTGCATCTCAGATAATTTAGTAGACTTTCTTCGCGAAACAAACTATTTACACTGTATATAAGTTAAATTATCCACAAAACGTTTTAAACTGATTTTTTTCTTTATCATTGATTGTAAATAAAATACTGTATCGCCCCTAATAACCAAGATGCTGATGCGTTTTTTTTTAATAAAAAAATAAATACAGTGTAGTACGAGGATGTATCAGAAAATAACGAGACTGGTGCTATAGTATAACAACGAAACATTTATTTAAACAAATTCAACAACTATCCTTCGAAGTACTCTCCATTCTGTTGAATACACTTATTCCATCGCTTTATCCACTTATCATAAACTTCTGAGAAACCATTTTTTGATAGTATGTTTAGTATACCCATCACAGCGTTGTTGAGCTCTATATCCGACTCAAATCTTCTACCTCTTAATTCTTTTTGACTTCAGGAAACAAATGGAAGTCACATGGAGCAAGGTCAGGAGAGTAGGGGGGATGAACCATAATTTGAACCCCTAATTCTTCAATTGTTCGTTGACAAATCATTGATCTATGAGCCGGAGCATTGTCGTGATGCAGCGTCCAGCCAAAGTCCTGATAAAGCGGCCTTTTTTTCTTTAATTTTACCTTTAAGGGTCCTCGAAGTACATTAGAATAGTACTCCCCTGTTACTGTATGTCCTCTAGGTACAATGTGATCGTAAATAACGCCAAATTTATCAAAAAAAAATCAGGTGCATCACTTTACCAGCGCTTTTAGCAGGTTTGGCCTTCTGCGGTCTTGGGCTGTCTTTATGCTTCCATTGCATACTTTGAGACTTCAATTCAGGATCGTAATGATAAAACCAACTTTCATCACATGTAACCACATTATTTAAAAATTGTGGGTTACGTTGCAATTGCCTTTTCGACTGCTGACAAATTGTCACTCGATTCGCTTTTTGTTCATCGGTCATCACTTTTGGAATCCATCTTGCTGCGATCTTCCGGTACTCTAAATCTTCATGAATAATTTTTTGAGTGGTACCGTAAGACAAATTAACATTGTCAGAAATTCGTTTTATGCCAATCCGGCAATCATTTTGTATCAAGTCGTTAATTTCTGCAATTTTTGTGTCATTTCTCGCAGTTTGTGGTCGACCGGGACGAGGTTCATCTTCAACTGATTCACAACCGTCTTTAAACTTTTTATGCCACTCAAACACTCTACATCGTAATAAACTATTATCTAGATATGCACCTTTAATTATTTCAAAAGTTTCAGTTGGTGTTTTACCCAATCGAACACAAAATTTTATCGCGTATCTTTGCTCCACTTTCATTTTTAGATGGGTACGCAAAACACTGACAATTCAATAATTAATTTGTAACAAATGTCAAAAGTTAAATCAAAGCCTACTTGCGGGGTAGTACATTAAATATAAGGCTTTCATGTCTCATTTTTTGGGTTACCAAATGTTACCTCTGAAAGAAGTTATAGCACCAGTCTCGTTATATACTGATATATCCTCGTATATCACTGGAAAGGTCTGAATGTCGACATAGTGTAGTTTACTTCCTAGGGATAGAATTAAAATATCAAAATGTTGTTTGTATTGTCATAACAAACATTATTCACTACCAATAGCGATGGTTATAAAAAAATTATCCCTTATCTATCTGTTATACTAGTTTAATGTTATTGAGTCAGTTAATAATTTAACAAAATTTTAATTTTTCAGAAATTTGGCAACATAAACTTGAAGAATTTTCAGACAGATTCAACGTTCTAGAGAAACTTAAAACCAATGAAGGTTTAAGGCCTGCAGCATTACAGAACGATGAGATATTGGGATATCACGGCAATTTTAGAAAATTAGATATGGATTAATTTATTTTTATGTCATATTATATTGGAGAGAGAAGGAGAAAAAGAGAATAAAGATAAAAAATTACAGTTTTATGTAATAATGCATGTTATCAAATATTTATTCATTTATGTAGATTTTACTTGTATATATATTTTTTTTTGTAAAATAAAATCTATTAATTATTTGATTTTATTTCAATAGGTCTTCCGTATTTGACATATCGTCACCCGTATGCTAAAACCACGAATGTGCATTTTATATATTTTACAAAGGGAGCAAATTAAAAAATAATGTTTAATTCTTTTTCTGTTTTTTATGAGAAAGTATTCGTTTAAGTTCGGTTTACCAATAAATAATTTCAACTTTTGATAATTTTATTGAAAAAAAGAAAAACAAAAAGATTTTTCCGTTTAAAAACACATTCGTGAATTTCGCATACCAAATATTTTAGAAAAAAAAAACAATTCGTGTTATAAAATTATTATTTAATTTAAAAAAAATATTAACAGACATTGTAGAAAAAACTAAAAATCTTCTTATTACTATTCATAGTCGTACTCATACTATTCATAGTCGGACTCTTCATCAAATTTGGGTTCCGGTAACCTATCTTTTTTGTTTGCGTCCAGCTTTAGACCTCTATAAAAATGATGGTGAATGGCAGGAATAGTGCCGTCTTCGCACATTTTGGCCAAATTTGCAAATTTTGCATTCGTAATGAATAAGGTATGTTGGTAAGCATTTTCTGGCTGTTCTTCTTTTTGTGTCATCACTTGTTTCTTTTGAATTTTTGTTCCAAAAAGGAGGGCTCTTTAAAACTAGTTTTAAAATCATAAGGGGTTCAACTTTTGCATACTGAAGCCAGCAGACGCTTCGCCGCGCCATGGAACATTTAATTGCCGCACCATGGAATATTTAATTTCATTTTTAAAATTGAATACGACTTAAAATAAAAAAAGTCATTAAACATTAAGTTAATGACGTTAAAAGGTTTTGGATTTATGCGTGTGTCTCTTATTAGCTGTGTCCATCCTTCAAATTCATACATAGGAACAAATTTTGATTTTTTTCGATTTTGGAATGAATCAATCGCATTCCATCTTTGTATGTCCTGTTTCAAAAATTTTATGATCTCTTCTTTTAAGGGTTGCATGATTTACTACAACATACTAACACATTGCAAAAATTGAATTTTTTGTTGTCCTCTGCAGCCGTCGGACATCGTACGGACAGCACCAATTGAAGGATTGTTGATGATATACATAAAGATGCAAGTGGATATTTCATTTGCCCCACGATTTCCTTGAGTATCGTCCCATAAATAGCAAGAAACATCTTAATTTCCCAGATTATAGATAGGTAAATTGTAAACAGCCAGTTTTCTGAAATAAAAAATTTGACCTGCTGGACCTTTGGGGGTACTAAGTACTGACTGCAAATCAAAATTAAAAGGTAAAACATTAAAGTTTTCCTATGCTACGTGCTTGTCATTATCTCTCTACGCTCTAGCATCTTCCTTTCTTTTAAATGCTCTTTATAAGGTAGTTCCTGTTCAGCTTTTTGATCTTGCAATATAATTATCGTATGCAAGACATTTCCTGCATTGATCTTTTTTGGGTTTAAAAAATCCCAGATTGCATTCTTGAAAAATATGCCTATATTTTACCATAGACGCCGGTTTTTTATTTTCGGAGGCGCATTTATCCTTGTATAGCCTATACATGAGTGAAATATTAAGTTGGAAATCCAAATACCATTTTAAGCTTTTTTTCCTGCAATAATAGGGTCAATAGACAGATATGATTTTATGTGGTCTCGTTGTCTCTTAGGAGATAATTTGTTGTGTGGAACATGCTTTCCACGTTGTCTGGTTCTAGAAATCCCGCCAAAGTTTTCTTATCTAAAGAACCTCTACAAAGGCATCTGTTACATTTAAAGTGTTCATAAAAAATGGCGGCATACAATCTGTTTTCGCCATTAACCGTAAACGAATAGTGGTTTGTAAAGCTCTTTCTGGAATCAGTAATATTTCTAGTTGTTCTTTTTTTGGTCTTTTGTTCAACATGAGTTAAAATAAACTGACGTTATTAATAAGTAGTATTCTCTTATTTTCGGCCACCTTGCTTAAACAGTTGTGATTCTTTTTATCAGCACAAGCAGCCGGTAACATTGGTCAAGCCGCATGAAATATTTTTCGAAATCCAATATATTCCTGTCCCTTAAGACGTTTTTGCTTCCTTACATTTTTTTCCGAGTGGATTTAATTTTTCGTTTTTTTTTGGAATAGTTGAAATATTCCTTTTAACATAAAAAAGGTGTAGGTGCATAAAAAAATGTTTAATTTGTTGAACTAGAGTAATTCACAAACTTAAATTTTAACCATACCTTTGTCCTCGGCATTGGTACCGCTAAAAGACTGCAAACCTATTTTATTTGGACATTGTTCGAAGTCATCTGAATCTGAGGCATTTGATGATGGAACATAATCGGAAGAGTCCCCAGAATCTATTTCAGTGACTTCGTCTTGCATGGATTCTGTAAAATTTATATACATTTATTTTTACAATAGATGAACTAAAATTTTATAATATACTAGCTTACCCGATCTCGCTTCGCTGGAATTTCTCAAATCTCAATTATTAAAAGTGAAAAACAGTTTTTGTTACTCGTGAGAATTTTTTTCATGCGATGCTTAAAAAAATTATTAATTTAATTTTTATTTGTTTTTATTAGTTTTATTAATTTTTATTAATTTTTAATAACTTTTAATAACTTTTAATAACTTTTAATAACTTTTAATAACTTTTAATAACTTTTAATAACTTTTAATAACTTTTAATAACTTTTAATAACTTTTAATAACTTTTAATAACTTTTAATAACTTTTAATAACTTTTAATAACTTTTAATAACTTTTAATAACTTTTAATAATTTTTATTAATTTTTATTAATTTTTTTTATTTTTATTAATTTTTATTATTTTTATTAATTTTATTTATTATTTATTTTTATTTTTTATTTGTTTATTTTTATTTATTTATTCCCCCCCTCCTTAAAATGTGAAAATGCAAAAACCTTTAAATACGTCATTATATGAGTAGCTACAATTCCAACTTTTATGTTCTCACCTTCAAAAAATCGATACTTTCATCCTTCTTCCCCTTTCCATCTTCTCCCTAGTTTTTCATTTTCCCCCTTTCCGTATTTTCTCTATTTCCCCCTTTCTCCACACTTTCGCATTTATGTAGTAGTAGGGTTCTTATGATACTTTCCAAGTCCCCCTCCTTTAAATGCGAAAATCCAAAAACCTTGAAATACGTTATTATTTATATTTATGAGTAGCTGCAATTCTAATTTTCAAGTTCCTATATTTAAAAAGGCAAAAGTCTTCACCTTACACCGTCATCTATTAGGAATTCATAGAACTAACCAATAAATACACAATATTTAGGCATTCTATACAAATGAAACGCGATGCTGTTTGGTATGTTTAAAGGGTTGCGACATACGATGTAGTCTATCTGCATTACATGAAATCATAAATAATGGATGAAATTTAAATATTTTATGTTGAACACAATGAAAATATTATTTTTAAACCGCTTATACATTTTCCTTAAATTGGCAGGCTCGGCGACCATTATTTTAAATAAAAATAGCGTCCAATATGGAAGGCTATGTCGCAACCCCTTTAAATTTACTAACCCTTCCCGCTGTCAGCTATTGTTTGACAGGCCGTTGAAATGCCTAATTGTATAATAAACATTTAATTTGCAATAACAAATATTGAGGTCATTAATTGAGATAAAAGCTATTCTATCTTTTAAATTGGACCAAATTACAGTTACCAAATTTTATCAAAAGCCGTTCAGTAGTTTTGGAGTTTATCGCGAACATACATCGTGACACGAAATTTTTATATATATAGATTATTACCTGGCTTATTTAAAACTCTATTTATCACAATTCTTGTTGTTCCGGATGTTGAAGGAATTGGATCAACCTCATCTGAGAAATTTAAATAAAACTGTTAAAATGTTTAGCAAAATAGAAAAAAACTTACTTTTACTCGGTAATATGTTTCACCAATTGTAGTATTCTTTTAGTTCTGGCACTTATAATGTACACTAAATACTTTTTGAACAAATAAATAGGATTATTTTACAGTAATTCACTGCAAAACTACTGATTCTGGAAATATATAACTTAACCTCAAAACATAATAATAAACAGTGTTAAATCGCGAATGTTGGAAATCGGTAAAACCTGGAACACCAAAACCATGAATGTGGTACATCCGTGGTTTTGGCATACCAATACTCGACGTATGACGTAACTTCAGATACGCGAAAAATGATGCCACGTTGCCGGCTTTATTCTTTAGAAAAATACATTCGTGGTTTTAGTATACTAAAATATAAAAAATTTTAAGGTTTTTCGTCTGGAAAATCAAAATCAATAAATTTTCACGTTCGTGGTTTTGGCATATAGGTGACGATATATTAATATAATAAATATACTAAGTATATTCAATTTTAATTTTTGTTTTTTTATATATATAAAAATGGAGTTGGTATATCCCTAAATGTCATGTCAATAATAAATATGGTAATTCCTTGGTTTATTTTATTACCTACTAATGTGCGTTTTATATTTGATTTAGATTTTTATTAAAGTTGACAGATTTGTTTGTTGTATTAAAATAATAATTTAAACCTGATCTCATAATAAAAATTTAAAGGTCCAAATGATGCAATTATAAGTCCATAAGAATGTTGCGTTGCATCGGTACCTGCATGTGTATACTTCAGTTGCATCGCAACATTTCAATGGATCTTTTAACCCGGGTGTACACACGTGTCGGTCGAAGGGACCAAGCGTTGATAAATTCAGTAGTAACGCCACTTTTTAATAATGCCCGAGGCAGTTTTTTTACCATTGACTAGTGCAACATTATTTTTATTTTTATTTGGCAGTGTTGTTATTAGTCCCTTATCTGACTGCAAAAAGTGACATGTGTTTTTTCTTGCTATTTGTAGTTGGGTATAGGGAAAAGGGTAAACAACATGTACTTTGTCTTGGTGGTGCGTTCAACTAAAAGAATATATTTCATATTCATTCTAAGTACTAAGAACACTGCAAATTATTAAATCCACCAATTCCAGTTAATATTTTGTACACCCAATTACTATTTTTTTAAATATTAAATTAGTGACAATTCTGTCAAACTAACTGTCAGTATATTTTTTAGTTATTGAGACTAAATATACATTAAAATGAGTTATTTTATGGAATCGATAAATAATAATATTTTTATTTTAATTTGGTGTAAATTTTGAACAATTTAAATTTTAATAAAACTATTTGAAACTAATTAAATTACGAGTATTAAATCAAAAATCCTAAAGTGGAGCATCTATTTTCCACGCGAAATACCCAGGTTAGGGACTAATTAAATAAGGTCTTTTTTGTGTTCATTTTATTTTATAAATTAGTAAAATTCATAAATTATTTAAAAATTAGTTATTTTGTCTTATTAACCTAAAATAATTTTGTAAATTTGTAGATTTTCATTGTTGAGTCGTAGAAAAAATATACTGTACAACTCTAGTAGATTATTCATATTATACTTAAGACGATTAAGTACTAGCCTACGGCTTCGTGCTCAAACTTCGTCTTTATGCGATATATCTATCATATCCACTCTTGTTGCACAAACTACTACTTTTGTGCATTGATATTTTTGGTTTTGGAAATAAAATAATTTGTTTCTCCACGTCTATAAGAATAAAGAAATTCCCTTTGAAAGCACTTTTTGTCATCTGGTTTTGCTACTTTCGGTATAGTTGTTAGAAGAACTTTTGTTAAAGATGACTTTTGTAAAGATATGATATTTTATACCACAGCCGATATTGGGGGCTATTCCCTTTAACCAGAAACAAATACAAAATAAAACCAAAAGGATATACAAGTTTCAAAAAAATAATTTTTTTTATTGTGAATGTAATGTGCATTTTTAGCCGCTCAAATTACAAAAGTAAATTTAACTCACCTTGTTTAAATATACGCAAAAAGGTAAAACATTATATTAAAATAACCAAAAAAGGTTGACAGCTGTGTGCACGTAGTTTAGATTCAAGAGGAAAGACTTGTGTTTCGTGCAAAACTTTTTAATTAATAAATGCAAAGCGGTTTCGGCATTTTGCCATCATCAGTGCTTACTGTCCAAAAACATATTTAACAAGTTCTTAGTCGTCCTCGCTCCCAAAATTAGATATTTTAGGATATTCACAACTTGCTAAATCATAATTATTACTATTAGTAATATTTATGAATTTAAATTTCTTTATACATTCATTTTTATTACTATTGTTTAACGGTGGGACACCTTTATGTTTGTGGACAATAAGCACTGATGATGGCAAAATGCCGAAAGTGCTTTGCATTTATTAATTAAAAAGTTTTGCACGAAATACAAGTCTTTCCTTTTAAAACGTTATATATTTTGTCATTATAAGCTTTTAAAACTAATATTTTTGACATAAACTAGCTGTATGTATTGTTAACCTGCAGATATTCTATTATTTCATATTATTAATTGAAAAAAGGATGGTAATTTACCCTAAGTACAATACATTTTACAACAATTCTATTTGCAGTATGGTTATTCTAGACTGGGTTGTTGCAATTTATAAAATTCAGCTAAAAGAAAATATCTCGTTGCGAGTTTACTTATATATTATGTATTATAACCTTACTTCTAGGTAATTAATTATAACCGATGTCAATTTCAATCAATTTGTGTAACATTTTAATTTAATATTATTGTTTTCCGAATATTTTGTATATATTTTGTTGGGTTATATTTGACGTTAAATGTCAAGTGAACAGGACAAGATAATTGTCAGTTTAGTTGCATTAAATGTCATTCATTCTAGTTTCGAGTTTTAGGTAATGGAAACTTCACGGTGGGTGATTTAAACTCGCTATTCCCTGTACGAGGTGCGTTCATTTTGATTGTAGATTTGTACGCGATTAGGAGATTTGTCGCGATCGGTTTGGTATCGATTTTTGTCAGGAGCAATTTTCAAATGTGGTTATATTGTATATAGATATTAGGCATTCCAACGACCTGTCAAACAATAGGTGCCAGTGAGAAATTCTGGTATGTTTAAGGGGGGTAGCGACATAGTCTTGCAACTTGGACGCTATTTTTATTCGAAGTAGTACTCGCCAAGCCTGCCAATTTATGAAGAAATGTATAGATGGGTTTTTTAAATATTATTTTTATTGTGTTTGACATAAAATATTTAAATGTAATTCATTATTCATGATTTTACGTAAAGTAGATAGAATACACCATATGTCGCCACCCTTAGATATACCAAACCTGCCCACTGGTTATTCATTTGTTTGGAATGCCTAATAGTTTGTTAGGTTATTCGTTTGTAAATAGTCTCTAAGATATATACTGGTAATTTCTTAAGAATGATTCTAAACCCCCTTGCCTTGACATTTTTTAAAGCGAAAGTGAAGACATTGTGCAAGTTTTGTTGGTTAGGTTGTCTTTTAAAAGGTTAAGGAAGGAAAACAACAAGTTTTGTCTCGGAATTAAAATGTATATTTTTCTATAACCATGTTACTCCATTTACGGACATTTGATATAATTGGAGAATTTTGATATTATGATAAATTCCCATGGTTTATTGGCCTATGCCACACACGTTAAAGGAATCTACAGACAAAAATTGTAAGTATGACTAATTGCAATAGATGTTGAGTTAATGGTTCGTTGTTTTATATAGAGAGGCCCATCGGTATTTGAGTATGTGTATTAAAGTGGATTCTTTAATAGTGGTTGCTTTGGACTGTCTTGTTTTTTTCAACTTTGGAAAGCTACCAGCTTGACTCTTTACGAAAAGGGTATGTTTTGTATATATTTGGTAATATTGTACATCTTTTGATTATCGATTTCTTTTATGTTGAGGCTTGGTGCACTATAATTTTAAATATTTAAGTGCATAATACTGTTTATGACACTTAGTGAGTCAATGTAATTTTTCATTTATCCTAGGTACTTAATAGTTTCCAGTTTACAATAAGGGTAATTAATTGTATAGTTTGGGAAACTTGAGTCAATTTGTATTGACAAATTTTGTAATACTTTAAGGTTTCACCTGAAGGGTTTTTCACTTCGGATATCAATGGTATTCACCCGGAGGGTTCACCATTAGAATAAAAGTCGAGAATTGAGTCCGTGGTGAGAGAAGCAATTCGGGCGAGGAAGAGGTTTCAAATACTGAGCAAAGGGGCTGTTAAACTGTCTACATGAGCTTTAAACCTAGAGGACTTTCCTTCAACCTAAAGGGAGCTTTAATTTAGAAAGTTTAACAGTAAAAAGTAGCAAGTTAAATTAAAATTGGTAAAATGAAAAATATTTTAAAAGTTCTAAAAGAAAAAATAAACTATATGAAATATAAATTTTTTTGTTATTTATTTTTTTTTTATTTACCAAATAAGTACAATTAATTAAATTAGTATAACATTTTCATGGCAAATGAGAAAATCATCCACAAAAGACAAGCTTGTACGTGGACTAATAATTGATCATCTGTCATGAGCAAGCTTTACAGTTTTAAACAATAATGTAAACATACAATTTTAACAATATAGAATAAGGGACAAATATAACATTTATAAATAAATTAATCTAATAAGATTTAGAAGATAGTTATTAATTTTGTAAATGGGTTTGCTCCAAAATATTTTAATTAAATATGTAGAGGTTAGTATTTTAATTAGTATTATCCTAATAATAATATGACGTATTAAAATATAAACTAAAATTAAAAAATTTAAAAATGACAGCTTTAAAATATATTATTTTTAATTTTGAGTAAGTCTATGTAAATTTAAGGACAAATACTTATACAATTTCTAAAAATAAATAATCAATCTAATAAGATTTAAGAAAACATTATCTAAGCTAATGATCCGCTAAACAGACTATAACCGGTTTCATTTTGAGCTGAAATAAAATTTTTTAGAATATGAGCTGGAATGGATAATATCCATCTCTCAATATGCTTTTTAAATAAATTTATTGAATTAATCCTCTTAATGTCTAGAGGTAATTGATTTTTAAGTTTTGGACCCAGGTAAGTGTAACTTTTTTTCCCTATAGTTTTTTCCACTTTAGGGATTAAAAAGATGTTCATCTTATATCTTGTGGAATAGTTATGTTGTATTGGTATTAATGTATGTTTATCTTTGTATTGCTTTAGTAGGATCATTTTTATATATAATTGATAAATATTTAGCATTCCGGTTTCTTGAAAAAGATCGGCTGAGGGGTAAGTTCTAGGCTTATGAAATATAGATTTTAATATACTTTTTTGTATTTTTTGTAGGTTGTCAATCAAAGTAAAACCAGCTGATCCCCATGCAATAAGACCGTACGTCAAGTGACTTTCTACTAAAGCGAAGTAAATAATCTTGAGGTAAGTCAAGGAGAGAAATGAAGTAATGTTTTTTATTTTATACAATACGAATCTTAGTTTTTTTATTAAATACGTTATCTCATGATCCCATCTTAAATGGGGGTCAAGATATATCCCAAGATATTTTATTTTTTTCGTTACTTTAATAGTAAATACTTCATTTTTTGTATTATTTATTATAATTTCAGCATAAGGTGGAAGATTTGTGCTATATGAGGTAAATGGAACGAGAAATGTTTTTTTATAATTTATCCTGAGCAATCTAGTTTCAAGAAAGTTTATTATTTTTATGAAATCATGTTCAATATCTGATTTAA